TCCGGCTTCCCCAAATCTAAAACTAGCCGGGAAGGTAGCATATGGTAATCACGTGCGGCAACCATCGAAAAAAACGTGCCGTCTATACCAAAGTGGCCAAATTTTGACCACGGGACTGTGGGAATCCTGAGACAGTTGTAATTGTGAGTTGCTGGTTGTAAGTTGCTTTTTTCAGGGCTGTTGTCACTTTGAACGGCCGCTAAACAAATAGTTGTACGTTGAAGGCCACTGTACTGAAACTGGCCATCTGTACTATAGGTAATCCTTGAGCGATGATCACAATTGAGCCCAAAATATTAGCTGCTAAATGCAGTGTTTCTCAACCGTGGCGAGTTGAAGTCCACAGGACTTAAAGTCGCCAAGGTTGAGAAACACAGTGCTAAAGGGATGTGGTGGCTCAGGGGCTAAGACACTGAGCTTGTCAATCAGAAGGTCGGCACTTCGGCAGTTCGAGTCCCTAGCGCTGCGTAACAGGGTGAGTTCCTGTTACTAGTCCCAGCTTCTGCCAACCTAGCAATTTGAAAGCATGTAAAAATGCAAGTAGAAAAATAGGGACCACCTTTGGTGGGAAGGCAACAGTGTTCTGTGCGCCTTTGGTGTTTAGTCATGCTGGCCACATGACCATGGAGACGTCTTCGGACAGCGCTGGCTCTTTGGCTTTGAAAGGGAGACGAGCACCACCCCCTAGAGTTGGGAACAACTAGCACATATATGCGAAGGGAATCTTTACCTCTACCTCAGTGTTTCTCAACCTTGGCAGATGTCTGGACTTCAACTCCCAGAATTCCCCAGCCAGCGAAGTTGCCAAGGTTGAGAAACACTGCTCTACCTATTGGTTGCTAAGTGAGACATTTGATAGAGTTTTGCACCTTTTTATGACCTTTCTTGCCAGTTGTTAAGTGAATCACTGCAGCTGTTAAGTTAAAAACACGGTTGTTAAGTGAATCTGGCTTCCCCAATTGACTTTGCTTGTCAGAAGGTCGCAAAAGGGAATCACGTGACCCTGGTATGCTGCGACCGTCATAAATATGAGTCACTTTGCCAAGTGTCCCAATTTTGATCCCGTGACTGTTGGGATGCTGCAACAGTTGTAAGTGTTAAAAATGGTCATCAGTCCCTTTTATTCAGTGCCGCTGCAACTTTGAACAGTCATTAAATGAATCGATGTAAGTTGAGAGCTGGACCTGTCCTGTTTTTCATTGGTTTATTGTTCAATATAAGCCTACAGGTAGCTGCTTCCCACAGTGTAGTTAAGATAGTAGCTCCTCTTACGTAATGCACAAGATCAAAAGGGTATTTTTGTTGCATTGAACGTATTGTGCAAACACACTCTGAACATGACGTTGCGCATGTAAAGGATCAGTGCAACTACAATGAGTTCTCCGAAAACTCCTGTAAGGCAAATGGGTGAGGATTCTTGGTTTCTTTATGTCTGGATTAAATTGCTTCACATTACTTACTGAATTGCTTTAATAGCCTGCTATGTGACAGGTATGTGCTATATGCAAGGTTGGCTCAGGGGCCAAGACGCTGAGCTTGTCAATCAGAAAGTCGGCAGTTCAGTATTTGAATCCCTAGCGCCACGTAACGGAGTGAGCTCCCGTGACTAGTCCCAGCTTCTGCCAACCTAGCAGTTCGAAAACATGTAAAAAATGCAAGTAGAAAAAATAGGAACCACCTTTGGTGGGAAGGGAACAGCGCTCTGTGCACCTTTGGTGTTGAGTCATGCTGGCCACATGACCACGGAGACGTCTTCGGACAGCGTTGGCTCTTCGGCTTTGAAACGGAGATGAGCACTGCCCCCTAGGGTCAGCAACAAGTAGCACATATATATGAGGGGAACCTTCACCTTCACCTTTACCTATGTGCCAGGTAAGCTCCCAATGCCAGGTGCACATTTTCAAAACGTCAGCCGCTTGGGGTAAAAGAATGACCAATGTAAAATCGAACGATTTGTAACAGAAAATAATTAATACAATTAATGTAATGCAGGAGCCCTCTATTTAGTTTAGTGGCCATTTACAGTGGCACTGGGGAAAAAAAGACTTATAATTGCAGCATCTCCGTGGTTACGTGATTAAAATTCAGAAGCTTGGCAATTGACCCATTCTTCTGACAGTTGCAGACATGAGATCACCCTTTGTGGCCTTCTGGTGAGCCAGAGGTCAATGGAGAAGCCAGCTGCACCGGACAACCTCTTTACGAAGTTCAACAACTTCAATGATTCCCTTAAGAACTGTGGCAAGAAAGCTCGTAAAACGGGGCAAAGCTCAGTCTAAAACTGCCTCGCTTAGCAACGGAACTTGAGGGCCCGGTTGTTGTGTAAGCCGAGAACTAATTGCATAAGAAAACCATAACAGATTGTGGTTTTTAAAAGTTAGATGACTCATCATCCATTAGGTCATCATCGTTTCAGGAACTTGAACAGAGAAAGAGAATGAACACCAGTAGGTTTAAAAAAAATGCAATGGAAGCAGGATTTCCCCATGGAGTTTTCTTGTGGGAAGCTGGCAGGAAGTATCAGAAATTCCTTCCTTCCTCCCTTGCTTCTCCCTCCCTTCCTGGAGGCTCAGCAGGCTGAGATGGTCAGCTAGTTCCAGCCCATGATGCAGTCCCACTGGAACGAGGCCCTCCGGCTCTTTGCCACCAGCGGTGCTTCCCTCCAGCCTTCGTCTAAAGTCCCGCACCAGGAGGCTGAAGCAGACCCCAAGTTGGAATTTCT